CTCTGGCTAAACAGCACCTTTTAATAGGGGTCACACCTCTTAAACTAAGTCAAGGTGAAAATAGTAAGTTATATTGCTATGTGTTTGAGTGTTCCAAAGAGAGGTTTTGCAATAGAGTTTCTACTGAATCTTCTTCAGATGCATGGAAATTCCTGAAGACAAGTATGTACAATGTGGCGCTCAAGAGCACTGGGAAGAGTATAAAAAAAAAAGAAGCTGACTAGCTTGTAGACCGTTTGGCAATCCTCCTGCCCCTCATTGAGAGGAAAAGATCTGCCTTGATTACCTACAAGTCTACTCCCACTACTGATTCGCTCAGCAAATTAAGAGAGACTCATAAGATTGTTTAAATAATTCCGGGAATGTGTTTAAGTATTTTGGTTGGATCACTGCTACAGCATCCAACAAGCAGCCAATGAACGTGAGAATAGGTGGCTATATGAGGACAATAGAAAGGCCTATAATGAACAAGACAGCTTCACTGAAAGATCTGGATGGCACTAGCATAGATAATAAAGGGAAACAACTGGATTGAGATGGTTTGAGCACTATGGAATGGTATACTCAAGTACTATAGTAGACTAATCTGTGTTAGCTGAATTTCCTGGGTTTGAAGTTATGACTTTGCAGGATGCCAAACCTACTCTAGAGGAACTTGAACAAAGCATCAAAAAGATTCCCAACCACAAAGCTTTAGTAGCTGAATTTACCTGCTAAAATCTATAAATGAGCAAATAAAGACTTGCTGAAACGATTGCACAAGGCATTGCTGCACTACTGGAAGGAAGAAACTGTTCTGCAAGATGCTAAGGTTGCTCTTTTCATCCAACTCTATCATAATAGAAGAAACAGAATGATTGTAATAACCACAGGGGTATATTTCTTCTTAATATCATGGGAAAAATCTTAAGACGTTTATTTTTACCCAGACTTAAAATTTTAGCTGAGAGAATCTATTGTGAGAGCTTGTATGGCTTCTGCTTTGGGAAGGTACAAAATAGACATGGTTCTCTGTAAGACAGCTGTAGGAAAAGTGCAGAGAGAAGTCCATGACTTTTATAGATTTAACAAAAGCCTTTGATGTGGTTAGTTAGTTGGGGCTTTACTTTGTTCTGAAGAAACTTACGCAATGGAATCCTTACACTATGGAATGAAGATAATTGTAATGTAAGAAAACAAAAAGTCTGATTCATTTAACATCAATAAAGGAGTGAAGCAGGGCAGTATACTAGGGTCTACATGGTTTAATATTTCTCTTTCCTGCTTCCGCATACATTCTGTGACATTCAAGAGGGTGTCCATCTTAGCACTAACCATGACAGAGGTTTGTTTAACATTGCAAGGTTCAGAACTAAGATGAAGTTGAAGGAGATCCTCATGAGGGACCTGTTGTTTGTGGTGTTCATGCCCTTCAACATCTTATTACTATGTTCTGTGATTCATGAAAAATCTTTGGGTTATCAATAAGCTTGAAGCATCATGCACCAAGGCTCTTCAGAAACAGGTGACACCTTAGATAGTATTCATCAGGATGTTACTGACCAATTTTACCACCTCGGCTCTACTGTTACCAGCAATATGGACACCAGCTGCACTCACTAGTAGAACCAGGAAAACATCCAAGAACTGTGGTCTTTTGCAAGACAGAGCCTGGAACAATAACAAATTGTAAACTGAAGTGAAAAATCTATGTTTACAAAACATGTGTTTTATTCCCTCTTGTATGTGGCTCAGAAGCATGGACAACTGATGCCAAATATACCATAGGACTAAACAGCTTTCATATAGATGCTCATATAAAATTATTTGATGAACATAGAAAGACAGGGGGGACAAATGTGAAAGTGTTAAACATGCTGATATGTCATTCAATGGGAACACTGATTAGTAAGAAAGGACTCGGGAAGCTTGGATATGTCAAGTGAATGCCATATTACTGCATCCCATAGAGCGCACTGTACTCTGAAGCTCTCAAAGGGACAAGAAGGAGAAGCAGACCTCTGCACAGATTTTGGGTTGCTCACAAAGATCGTGTAGTATCTTTAGAATCTCTGTGTATGATTGGAAAGGAATGCAGAATGGTACTCTGGTTGCTGGTGTCATCTTGTAGAATGCAGTGTTGTAGGGTGGACTGGATCAAGCTTTGTGATGACCAGGGAGAGAGGAAGAAAGAATATGCTGCTCGGATTCAGATCATTGCTAGTGAATGGATGTGACCTACTTGTGGACTGGACTGTCATGCATCGGACTCAGAGACATCAAAGAAGTCATCAGCACATACACCATGTTCTGTAAAGGGCGATGGCACCATTGATCTACTGAGAGATGCCAGTATACTGTAGGATAGAGTCGATGTCACTCAGTAAACGAATTCAAAGAACTGACACTATCCCTGATCTGACAAGTACATGCTTACGTTCATCCCTGTTGAGCCCAGGACTTCCAAGAAGTACCTAGCTTATAAGCACCTGCTTAAATCCCTCTGGGTATGTCTACACTACCCTCCTAGTTTGAACTAGGCTTCCTAGTTCGAAGTACCTAGTTCGTGCCCCGTGTAGCCGCGCTGCACGGGGTTCGAACCAGCGGGGTTTTAAAAATGGCGGCTCCCCGCTTATGCAAATGAAGCCCGGAAAATTCAAATCCCGGGCTTCATTTGCAAGTGCGGTATGCCTACATTACCCCGCTTGTTCGAACTAGCGGGGTAGTGTAGACATACCCTTTGAGTGCAATGGGATTTAAAGATGTGTTTCAGGTTAAGCATGTGCCTAAATCCTGTGTTGAATAGGGATGGACTTCTGTATTAAATCCTTAATCACGTGCTCAGCTCTGGGACAACTCATGCACTTTAAAACTAAGCTCATGTTTATGTACTCTCCTGGTAAAACATGCTTGTATTTTGCTAGACTTGTTGTCTCCCTAAAATAGATTCTTTACTTTACCTTCAGTTAAGTTCAGTTCCTGCACTTTTTTTCTTAATTCTGCTAAGTCTGTCTCTTTTGGTACAATGCATGATAACTGACATTTGTACAATATTGCATGATCTTAGTCAATTTCTAATTCTGAATGTATTTATAATGCTATGGCATGAAGAAGATTTATAGATTTTATAACCTTTTAAATTGCACAACACTCTTCAGAGATTAACTGAAACTGGCAACATGGCTGTTGTAGTCATTTTTTAATGTGTTACTGTACTGTACAGCAGAGATGTCAGGAAAGAGAAGCTACATGATGTAGGAATGCACATAGACTATATCTCAGTCAGTAAATTGAGATTTTATTGCAGATTTCAGCACAATACACTTTTGAGGCTTGGCAGAACATTTGGCAAAGATACCTTCCTTTAATATCTGTACTGTACTCAATATATTTCACTCCATTAAACAAAGATTGGCTACAGATATACCTATACATATAACCATATATTCTGCTTAGCAAAGAAATAAAACATGATGTTTGGTCTCTGATTAGAGAAGGCAACAATTGAAATCTTAATATCTTAGGTTTTCTGTTCTTATTAAAATAACTGATTTTAAGTGTCTTAAGAAATGTATGAAATCAGTTCCATTTATTCTATTTGAATTAAATGTTTCCACCTGTACATATGTTTGATAAATTCAAGCACTACAGAGAAAGTACAAAACACATTGTTAATGCCAACTGCAAATCAAATGGCTATGGAGAAGATTAACACATTTCAGCCAAGTGTTGCTAGTCTGACTCAAGCACATAGAGCCCATTACCCATTCCCCCACATCATCATGGTTGCTTTATGTTTAGCTGACCCTCTAGGAGCAGGGGGGACCCACTAGTGGCACAGCATGAGACTGGCACAGCAGCACTCCTTTACTACCTTGCCTCCCTGTGATCAATATAGGGAGTGTGGTGGGTGAATGAGAAGGTAGAGAGGGCATTTCTGCACATTGACACCCCATGGGTGTTATAATGGCTTCTTGGGGCTGTTAGCAGCCTTAGTAATTTAGAACAGTCTTCCTTTGCCATCCTATCTGACTTTGGCTTTGTGCTGCTCAGTGCCGTTGAAAATATTTTCTCCAGTAAAGTTATATAAGGTGCACAAGGGTCTGTGTTGCCCTTTATGTGTATGTGTGGCTCCCACTGAAGCCATTGCCATATGCATAGGTACTGAGGGTATAGTAGACATCCCGAGCCTAATCTCACTCTAGCTAGTAAATTTACTCATTTACTCTAGGGTAAGTGAGAGTATAATCAGGCTCCTCACCATATGTGACATCTTTAAGCCATATATTTGTATACAGCTCAGGGTGGCAGTACCACAAAACTTCTACGTATGCATGGAAAGGGCTTTAGCCCAGTCAGGTAAAAGATCCATCATCTTGTGGAAACTGGGGGGCTGCTAGAAAGATCCCTTTGGGATGTTTCCTGAGGCATGACCCTGTGAGATATCGTTTCTATTTGTCTACATGTCTCGTGCAGCACTATCAGCTGTTGAGTTCTAGAACTGAACAGCACAAAATATCTGTCCTCACACAACCATTAAGAAATACAACAAATTGCTCATTACCCTGAAAAACAAAGACTTTCCACTTGTACTCCCTTCTGCGTGGTGCCCATGTAAAGCCATTTTTTCCTTTTGTATATTCATTCATTCCATATATGGATATGGTAGATTTCAAGTCCACAGAATTTTTTTAGCATGTTGTAATATTTTCTACATGTGTAATTGTTGTATTTTTTGTTTGAAACTATCTTAGGAGAAATTTCTTTAACCAGCAGCCTGGTGCTTTTAGAAATGCATTGACATATTTTTAATTGGGCCTATAGTTTGGGAAATCTCAAGATAGTTTTCCTCATTTGTTTTCTGATATAATCCTATGCATGTGCTTGATTACCTTTTCTTTCAAATAATTTTTACTTTTTTTCTTTGTTTCTCATTTCTTTTCTTCATTTGCCTGAAATCCTGCTTTCCCCCCACCCCCAACCTCTTCTGACTGATGCTTATTCTCCCCGGCATATTCCAGTTCTCTGCCACTGAAAGCTTCAAAGAATGACAAATCCAGAAGTTTGAAAAAAATCTCTCGGTAAGAATGAAAACAAGGTGACATATTTTGTTGTCTCTGTGTAGCTCATCCAAATTATAAGGCTCTTGAATAGAGAAACTTTAGAAATCAATAATGGTTTATGGCCACATTTGGAAGATACATATTTCCCATTAAAATGTAAAGAGTTTGATGTTGTAAGAAATGAAAATAGTAAAAATCAACATATAATTTTACACTTGTAAAGATACTTACTTTAAAATTTTGTATTTATGTATGTACGGTATAACCTGAACCTTTCAAGTACAATGAAGGACTTTTCAACTTTGGCAAAATAGGATAAAACAAACAGCAGACTATTAGAAGAGTGCACTTTGAGAGAACAGTGCTCTTTGGTAGACTGCAAGAACAACAAGAAGTCCTGTGGCACCTTATAGACTAACAGATATATTGGAGGATAAGCTTTCGTGGGCAAAGACCCACTTCGTCATGAAAGCTTATGCTCCAATATATCTGTTAGTCTATAAGGTGCCACAGGGCTTCTCATTGTTCTTTCAGATTCAGACGAATACAAATACCCCTGATGCTTGATAGAGTGACCAGCCTTAAAGCTAGGCCTTTATGCAACTTTCAAACAATGGTGATCCTATGCGATCCTACAGGTTCACTACATACAGGCTGTCCCCGGGTTACGTACAAGATCGGGACTGTAGGTTTGTTCTTAAGTTGAAACTGTATGTAAGTCGGAACTGGCGTCAGCCGCTGCTGAAACTGATCAGTTTCAACAGCGGCTGAATCTGGACGCCAGTTCTGACTTACATACGGATTCAACTTAAGAAACCCAGGTGTCCCCAAGTCAGCTGCTGCTGAAACTGATCAGCGGCTGATTCCAGGAAGCCTGGGGCAGAGCAACTCTGCCTCGGGCTTCCTGTAGTCAGCCCTGGTCAGTTTCAGCAGCTGCTGACTTGGAGACTCCTGGGGCAGAGCAGCTGGGGTGCTGCCGGGTTGGTACAGTAGCGCTGAGGAGCGGCACTGTGGGACCAACCTGGCAGCGCCCCAGCTGCTCTACCCCAGGTGTAGGCAAGAAAAGCCTGGTCTGCTGGGGGGGAGGGGGGGCACTAGCTGCACCCCCTCCCCCCAGCAGACCAGGGAGACGCGGGTGGCGGGACCGCCCGCGTCCTCCACGGCTTTGCTCCATGTCCCTGGTCTGCTGACCAGGGAGACGGGGAGCAAAGCCTTGGAGCACGCCCACAGCCAGCTGCCCCGCTGTCCCGCTGCGGGCGTGCTCCGCGGCTTTGCTCCCGGTCTCCCTGCAGACCAGAGAGACAGGGAGCAGCTTTTCTCGCCCCGGAGGACGGGGGCGGCGGGACTGCAGTGCATCTGGGCGTCCCGCCGCTCCAGTCCTCCGGGACGAGAAAATCCCGGTTCGTAACTGCGGATCCGACATAAGTTGGATCCGCGTAACTCAGGGACTGCACCACACAAAGAGAAAATTTGGGAGAGGGAAGAAAGAGAGAGGTGGTGGTGCTCATTACATGCTTGTGAACCCTGAGTGACTGAATAGTTCTTCTAAAATGACATGAATGAGGTCCGTTCCCACTTTCCTTAGGACCGTGCAATGGCCTCATATTAAAAAGCTGCATTCATACTGGGATTTAACTGAGTGTTAGTTACCACATAGTAGCTAAAATTTGATGGTAAAATCTTTTTTACCATATGAAAACCAGGTTTAAGAAGGGTTAAAGGAAGAGGAATCCACTCTCCCAAACCCTTTGGCAGGAGTGGGTGTCCAGTGACTCTGCTATGTTGGCTACATCCTCCAGACTTGAGTATTGCTAACAGCCCCATTCGCAACAAATGGAACAAATATCCTGACAATTCCTCTGCAATGCCCCTCGCTATTTCCCCAAACCTCTCGCCCATGGAATGTCCCCTGCACAGCCTGCCCCATGGAACTATTCTGGCGCCATGGCCATTCTGTAGTGTGGTGTCGATTCCAAGGGAAAACAGGAATAGCAACAGAGCTATTAGACCATCAGAGCTCTAGTTTCAGTCTTTGTGCGTGACTTTGCATCGTGTCTAGAACAGTATCTTCAGAGCACCAAGGTATAGACATCCAAGGTACCAGTTTGAAGTACCTAAGGCCATAGAAATACTCCCCATAATCTCACTACGTTGGTGTTCTAAATACAGAGAAGGACTCTTGTGCCTGAGCTAGAGCTGTGGCCACTGTTTATTTTAGATGGGCACCTCAGTAAGACAGGTATAATCGTGTATTGGGATATCTGCTGGTGCCCCTGGGAAGGATTTTTTTCTCCATGCAACATCAGACAACAGGCTATTTGCACTTCCCAGGGTTTTGGTTTTCCCTCCAAAACATAAAGCACAGGGTGTTACTACAGGCAGGGAGCCAGACCTGATGAGAGGGAGCATCCTATGTCAGATCAACCTTACACGGATGGCAGTGGTGGGGTGGTGCTAACCCCCTCACCAACCAGGAGGTTGGCTTTTCTACATTTAAATTCTATGCTCAAGTCATCTAATGGAGCATTGCATGGTTGGCTGTGGGTAGCCTTCCCCATCCAGTATCAGTAATGACAACACACTTAATTAATTTCCCTCAGCTTGAGGTGGAGGTGAAAATATTGACTTCTAGTTACTGACAAAAAAGCATCTAGTTTAACAGAAGAACCTCCTGCTAATATATTATCTGTTGATACAAAAGCTTTAAATGAAGATTTTTTCAGTCATTGTGTCATGCATTGCTGCTCTTTGCTAACACTAATACAACACTTTTAAACCCAAATTCATCTGTTAATACAGTGGTAAAGGGGTGGAGGATACATCACCACCAGGAATACGTTTTAAACGAGAGCAAATTATCTTTGCTATTTTTTTTCTTTTTGAAAGGAATGCAGCCTTTTAATCTTACAGAACCCTGAACCAAAGATTTAACTTACCCGAGGAATTCATTGTTCCACTGTTAATTTCTTCTCTTCCTAATTTGTAGAGAGTTCATCAACTACATGAAACGATCCCGAACCTTTTATGCCTCTGTAGCAGAAAGGCTGTGCGATGGGGACTTGGTGATGCGTGACAGCTCGACTTGCTGGAATGGAGAGGATGTTGTGGAAAGGTAATTGTGAGAGTCAAATTTTGTGCTGAAAATAGCTATATTTGGGCACATAAAATTAGGCTTTCCAGCTCTTCTTGGTGCTTTAAAAAGTGTTGTATTAGAAATTATGTGTTATCTTGAAACGTCGTATCACTTTTTATACTATAAACAGTGTGATGACCTTTGTGGACCGTAAGTATCTGATCACTTTATTAAAGCCTATGGGTTTTATAAATAGTGTCATAAAAATCTCCATGAAAAATACATTTTGAATGATAGCGAATTATGCAGTGAACTGAAACACATCCAAAGAAGACTGAGTAACAATGATTTTGGGGACCCACCTTTCACAAATGGAAGTCCTACAGTAATTTGCCGACCCCATCATAGATCATACTTTCTGGGAGGATAATGGTCATACTTTTTAACAGTAAGTCGGTAACATTCTAGGTTCAGAAATACCAGATCATACTTTCTTGATATTGTTTTAACCTGCATACCACTAAAGTTTTTTTATGAGGGTAAGTTAGTTGCTTTGAGTTTTAAAAGTAAGAAGAAAGAGGGAAATGGTGCATCTGTGGTATGTAGTTCATTCTTAGTGTGCAGGCTCCTTTGTTTTATAAAAAAAAGGTGAGGGTAAAGAGCATGTACAGGCTGCACCTCTCTAATCAGGCACTCTGTGGTCTGGCAACATCCATGATCCAGCATCATTTTAGTTGGCCAGATGTCCAGTTATCATGGGTATAGCTGTTTCCCACGGTCCCATAGAGTCCTGGCTCTCAGTGGTATTTTGCTCTAATTTACCCCAAATGTCTTCGAAGAGCCCAGTAAGCAGGGGAAGTGTGGTAATGCTGCTAGACAATATTGATCTCCCATGGATTGGCAAATTCTCTGGTTTGGCACCAGTCAGGTCCTGAGGGTCCCATACTAGAGTGGTTCTGCCTGTACCACATTTGTTGATTAGACCTCCAAGATATGTCTACATTGTAATAAAACACCCAGGAGTGGCTTGGGTCAGCAGTTCTGGACTTGCAGGGCTTGAGTTGCTGAGCTATAAAATGTCAGTGTAAGCATTCCGGCTCAGCATGGAGACTGAGCTCTGGGACCCTCTCTCTTCATAGGGCTCCAGAGTGCCAATATGTCTACACAGCAGTTTAACAGCCCAACAAGCCTTATTCCGCTGACACGGGCCAACAGCAGATATTTCACGGCAGCGTAGACATTCCCCTAGGGCAGTGGTCCCCAACCTGTGGAGGTTGCCGGGCGCCAGGGGGCGTGGCCGTTCGCCCACCGGGCGCCAGGGGGCGGGGCCCCCTGCGCGCCCGGGGGCGGCCCCCCCCAATAGCCGCATGCCCAGGGGCGGCCCCC